CCATTTACATAGGAGTGGTTAAAACATGCTAATAACCGTCCTATTAGTATATCAAAAAAGGTTTGGTATACCTTGACTGGTATGCCATCCAACCCTGGAGTTTTCTGACTTAAAGTCTTTAATTGCATCCAGAAGTTCCTCCTCTGTAATTTCACCTTCACATGAGTATTTCTGTATGGCTGTTAATTTTAATTTTACATTATCAATAGAAAAACAATCCCTACAATTAGCTTCATTTAGAGGAGATGGGGGCGACTGAAACGAAAACATATGCTTAAAGTACTTTGCGTCCTCCTTCAAAATATAATTTGGTGAATCATGGGTGACTCCATCATTTGTAACCAGTTTCAGTAAAATATTTTTGGTAGCATTTTTATGTTGAAGATTAAAAAAGAATTTTGTTCATTTTTCCCCATATTCCATCCAGTTTGCTTTATTTTTTATAATATTTACACTTGATCTTTCTTGAATAAGTTTCTCCATTTCTTTTTATTTTTCCTCTAATTTATTCTGAGCCTCTATGTTACAGTTTTTATTGCTATATATCTGTTAAGTTAGACCTTCTATTTCCTTTGTTAGTATGGACTCGTTTTACCTAAATTGCTTTTGTTTTCGAGATGAGTACTGAATTGCATGGCCTCTAAAGGCACATTTAAAAGTGTCCCATACAATAAGGGGATTTGCTGTACCTGTCACGCTCGTCGAACAGAGATGAGGACCAAGGCGCAGCGTTGCAGGCAAACATACTCTTTAATTAGAGACACGATCAAAATCAACAAACGATACGTGACAGTTCACTGTCTAACATAAACAGACTAGAAACAAGATCCCACAAACTCTGTGGGGAAACAGGCTGCTAAAGTATGGTTCTCAATCAGAGACAACAAGCAACAGCTGAATCCCGTTGCCTCTGATTGAGAACCACACTGGCCAACATAGAACAATACTAGAAAGTGAAACCTAGAACAAAACACATAGACTTTACACACCCTGGCTCAACATATTAGAGTCCCCAGAGCCAGGGCGTGACAGTACCCCACCCCTAAAGGCGCGGACTCCGACCGCGCCCACCAAATACCACAGGGGAGGGACCGGGTGGGCACTCCGCTTAGGCGGCGGATCCGGCTCCGGGCCTGATCCCCGCTCCCTCTCCAACCCCCCAAAGTACCCCTGGTCCGGTCTGGCCCCGCTGGCCGGAGCTGGACTGCACACTGGTGGAGCGGATTGCTCTAGCTCCGGCGTGAAGCATCTGACCGGTGCCGGACCAGCCACCGGTGGAACAGGCACGGGCCGTGCCGGACTGACGACGCACACCACTGGCTTGGTGTGGGGAGCAGGAGCGGGCCGAGCTGGGCTGACGAAACGCACCACTGACTTGGTGCGGGGAGCAGGAGCGGGCCGGACCGGGCTGACGAAGTGCACCACTGACTTGGTGCGGGGAGCAGGAACGGGCCGTGCCGGGCTGACGAAGCGCACCACTGACTTGGTGCGGGGAGCAGGAACGGGCCGAGCTGGGCTGACGAAACGCACCACTGACTTGGTGCGGGGAGCAGGAACGGGCCGGACAGGGCTGACAACGCGCACCACTGACTTGGTGCGGGGAGCAGGAATGGGCCGGACAGGGCTGACGAAACGCACCACAGACTTGGTGCGGGGAGCAGGAACGGGCCGGACAGGGCTGACAACGCGCACCACTGACTTGGTGCGGGGAGCAGGAATGGGCCGGACAGGGCTGACGAAACGCACCACAGACTTGGTGTGGGGAGCAGGAACGGGCCGGACTGGGCTGGCGACGCGCACCGTAGACTTGGTGCGAGTGGCAGGAACAGGCCGGACCGTACTGGGAACACACACCACTGGCCCTACGTGGGGATCAGGAACAGGCCGGACCGGACTGGCAACACACGCCAGTACCTCTCGCCGTGCCTCTACATCCTCCTTCCCCCTGGTGACCAGTGACTCCCGTAACCTGGCGGCCTCCTGCTGCCCCGTCGTCCACGGCGTTAGCCCCCCCCTAAAAAATGTATGGGCTTCACTCCTACCCGTGGACCAGGTCTCCATGCTTCTCGCCAGCCTTTCGCCCTTCTGCCTCCACGTCAAGCCCCTCTCTTCCTCACATGGCTTGACCCAGTCGAGGAGGCGAAGGAGATCCGCTAGAGATCTCTCAGGCGATGGCTCCTGGACTTGCTGCTTGGTCCAGTCTTGGTGGGATCTTCTGTCACGCTCGTCGAACAGAGATGAGGACCAAGGCGCAGCGTTGCAGGCAAACATACTCTTTAATTAGAGACACGATCAAAAACAACAAACGATACGTGACAGATCACGGTCTAACATAAACAGACTAGAAACAAGATCCCACAAACTCTGTGGGGAAACAGGCTGCTAAAGTATGGTTCTCAATCAGAGACAACAAGCAACAGCTGAATCCCGTTGCCTCTGATTGAGAACCACACTGGCCAACGTAGAACAATACTAGAAAGTGAAACCTAGAACAAAACACATAGACTTTTCACACCCTGGCTCAACATATTAGAGTCCCCAGAGCCAGGGCGTGACAGGACCTATGTTATGTCAGAAGAAATCAGTTATGAATTCCTCTGCCCTAGTTAGAAACAAGTTATCATCCAATAGGTTTTGATTACATTTCTAATATCCTCGCCCACGTGGAAATTCAGTAAAAGTAATGTACAGTTGAAGTCGGAAGTTTACATACCCATTAGCCAAATATATTTGAACTCAGTTTTCACAATTTCTGACATTTAATCCTAGTAAAAATTCCCTGTTTTAGGTCAGTTAGATCACCACTTTATTTTAAGAATGTGAAATGTCAGAATAATAGTAGAGAGAATGATTTCTTTCAGCTTTTATTTATTTCATCACATTCCCAGTGGGTCAGAAGTTTACATACACTCAATTAGTATTTGGTAGCATTGCCTTTAAATTGTTTAACTTGGGTTAAACATTTCGGGTAGCCTTCCAAAAGCTTCCCACAATAAGTTGGGTGAATTTTGGCCCATTCCTCCTGACAGAGCTGGTGTAACTGAATCAGGTTTGTAGGCCTCCTTGCTCGCACACGCTTTTTCAGCTCTGCCCACACATTTTCTATAGGATTGAGGTCAGGACTTTGTGATGGCCACTACAATACCTTGACTTTGTTGTCCTTAAACCATTTTGCCACAACTTTGGAAGTATGCTTGCGGTCATTGTTCATTTGGAAGACCCATTTGCAACCAAGCTTTAACTTCCTGACTGATGTCTTGAGATGTTGCTTCAATATATCCACGTAATTTCCCTTCCTCATGATACCATCTATTTTGTGAAGTGCACCAGTCCCTCCTGCAGCAAAGCACCCCCACAGCATGATGCTGCCACCCCCGTGCTTCAAGGTTGGGATGGTGTTCTTCGGCTTGCAAGCTACCCCCTTTTTCCTCCAAACATAACGATGGTCATTATGGCCAAACAGTTCTATTTTTGTTTCATCAGACCAGAGGACATTTCTCCAAAAGGTACGATCTTTGTCCCCATGTGCAGTTGCAAACTGTAGTCTGGCTATTTTATGGTGGTTTTGGAGCAGTGGCTTCTTCCTTGCTGAGCGGCCTTTCAGGTTATGTCGATATAGGACTCGTTTTACTGTGGATATAGATATTTTTGTACCTGTTTCCTCCAGCATCTTCACAAGGTCCTTTGCTGTTGTTCTGGAATTGATTTGCACTTTTCGCACCAAAGTATGTTCATCTCTAGGAGACCGAATGCGTCTCCTTCCAGAGCGGTATGATGGCTGCGTGGTCCCATGGTGTTTATACTTCCGTACTATTGTTTGTACAGATGAACGTGGTACCTTCAGGCATTTGGAAATTGCTCCCAAGGGTGAACCAAACTTGTGGAGGTCTACAATTTTTTTTCTGAGGTCTTGGCTGATTTCTTTTGATTTTCCCATGATTTCAAGCAAAGAGGCACTGAGTTTGAAGGTATGCCTTGAAATACATCCACAGGTACACCTCCAATTGACTCAAATTATGTCAATTAGCCTATCAGAAGCTTCTAAAGCCATGCCATCATTTGCTGGAATTTTCCAAGCTGTTTAAAGGCACAGTCAACTTAGTGTATGTAAACCTCTGACCCACTGGAATTGTGATACAGTGAATTATAAGTTAAATAATCTGTCTGTAAACAATTGTTGGAAAAATTACTTGTGTAATGCACAAAGTAGATGTCCTAACCGACTTGACAAAACTATAGTTTGTTAACAAGAAAATTGTGTAGTGGTTGAAAAACGAGTTTTAATGACTCCAACCTAAGTAAATGTAAACTTCCGACTTCAACTGTATATGCTACAACTGTATATGCTACTTATATGATGGTCTGACCGCATTCTTTCCCCTATCAACACTTGTTAAACTTTTGGTGCCAACGAGAATGACATAAGAAAGAATTCAAGACGACTAGCTTGACTGAGTCTCCACCATGTATATTTCACTAGGTCAGGATATTTAAGCCTCCATATATCTACTAATTCTAATGTATCCATGACATTCATGATTTCGATTTCCTTAAGAGCATGAGGGTGATCGTTTGTAGTGTGATTTCCTTTACGGTCCATTGAGCTATTTAAAACACTATTATAATCTCCAACCATAATAATAAAGTATTGTATTGCTTGCAGGGTTGATACTTTATTATATATATTGTCAGAGAAGTGTGGATCATCATTATTTGGTCCATAGAGGTTAATGAGCCATATCTGTTTATGGTCCAATAACATATTTAAAAATCATCCATCTACCTTGCGGATCTGTTTGGACAATTTGCACATTTGGATCGAAATTACTGTTAATTAATATCATCACCCCTTTTGAGGTTCTTTGCCTATGGGAGAAGTATATTTGCCCCCCCTAATTTGAGTGTCTTGTATGTATTATTACTTTGTTACCTCTAATCTATGAGACAAGGCGCAGCAGCCATGAAATCGCCCACGCCCTCCCTACTCTGAGACTGTATCAGCCAATGCCTGTATATATGAAGGTATCAGCACGCTAGGCTATTTCGCATCTCCTTGCCGGGTAGCCTATGCTGTATCAGGACAGGACGTCACGGTTTTGACCTAGGGCAAAGGAGCACGAGTTACCCAGTTCCATCAGGTAAATGCGACGGATTTATTTGATTTACTATTTGATAATGTTATATGCTGTCATTCTGCAATTGGGTGTAATGCACCATCGAAAATAGTAGGCTCTAGCAAATCGCCCTTTTCGAGACGCTTCCAAGCTATCCTCTAGCTAAACTATATTAAGCTATGCTGTAAACGTGCGGTTTCATAGAAGCCGGTTTGGTGCAGTGTAATTTAAGGTTAGACCGCATGGGCGTAGGCTTGTCTCCCTGCAGCCTCTTTGGATTTATGTGGGTCCCGTTTAGGTGAAAATATTATGTGGATTGGGCTGGCTGTTTGGGCTCTTTAGCCTACTCTACAAAATATATGTCCACTGTCCTTATGGCTACAATGCGGAGTTTTTCTCCTCTTTGGATCATCATGGAAGAAGTGTGCTCTTGATAAGGCATGCAATGTTTAGGTATTTTTATGGCACTTCTGGTTCTTAGTAGGGATGTAGTATATAGCACTATTCAGAGTGGTCTTTGTTGAAATTTGTCACGCAGAGCATCTGAACGTTCTTAAGTTTACCGGGCCGAGCACGCACGAGCCAGCAGGCGCCATGGAGTCGCATCTCTCCACCACCGCATATCTCCTCCTAGGTAATGCACTCACTCTGCATGGCAACCAACAGACGGTGAATAGACTACATTAGGCAATCCTTACCTTTGTAATCAATATTATTCAAGAGGAGTCATTATCAATACTTTAAAAATGTTTTATATCTCTGAAGGACATGGGTTTGTTGCGCTTGTAACGCCAAGGTAGTGGGTTCGATCCCCGGGACCACCCATACACAAAAATGTATGCACGCATGACTGTAAGTCGCTTTGGATAAAAGCGTCTGCTAAATGGCATATTATTGTTGTCTACAAAACCTTTTAGGAGGAAACCACTCGTTTTCTTTAATGCATGATGGGGGATCTACAGGTATTGTTCTTAGGATCATTATTCATTGCATTTTGGCATTTACAGTATTTCATATTGGCATGTGCTACTATTAGGCAGATGGAATTGTTGTGTAAAGTGATTCACACCACCATACAGAGAGAGGTTGCCAATTTCCTGCGTTTTAATCTCCCTTTGGCTATGAACTATTTCCTCCGTATTATTGTTTACGTTTCTTATCATTACATCCTGTGACATGATTCTCAAGGATGTCTCTTATTGCCTCTTGTTCTGTGTGTCCTAGCATTGGTCTCTACAACATCTGGGTTCTTCTGGACTCCCCGGGGGCCTCAGATGTACCCCTGCCTCACCTACATGGAGCACAACCTGCGGGTGGACTGTGAGTTCCCTGTGGAAGACAACCCTGCACACCTAGGCCCCTACTGCGAGTACAAGCAGGACAGCCGACTGGTGGGATTTGATTGTTTTTGACAGATTTTCAGTCTTTGCTATTTTCTCCTTCTTTCTTTCTTTACTTATGTATACACTGAGTGTAAAAACATGAGGAACACCTGCTCTTTCCATGACATAGACTGACCAGGTGAATCTAGGTGAAAGCTATGCTCCCTTATACATGTCACTAGTTAAATCCACTTTAAATCAGTGTAGATGAAGGGGAGGAGACAGGTTAAAGAAGGATTTTTTAGACAATTGAGACATGGATTGTGTATGTGTGCCATTCAGAGGGTGAATGAGCAAGACAAAATATTGAAGTGCCTTTGAACGGGGTATGTTAGTAGGTGCCAGGCGCACGTACTGGTTTGAGTGTGTCAAGAACTGCAACGCTGCTGGGTTTTTCACGTTCAACAGTTTCATTCCCCATTGATTTTGTTATAATGTTTGAGTCACTCAGATAGCATAAGAACATGGCATTATCCATGGCAAAATTTGTAAAATTGCAGGAAATTAGCTTTGAAACTGTAAAATGTTCTCTCTGCCCCATGGCAAAATTTGTAGAATTACAGGAAATTAGCTTTGAAACTATAAAATGTTCTCTACACCCCATGGCAAAATGTGTAGAATTGCAAGAAATTTGATTTAAAATGCCCACTACCATGCTAACATTGCCACCGCTGCTGAAAAGAATCCTAGTGGAACACTGAAGCAAGTAAATTAAGAAAAAAATCTAATTTACAATAGGTGGGCAGCACCTACCCCAACGCTGTGTCCCTGGTGTCGACAGACAACCGAAGGAGGGCCAACGTGAGCTTGGTCAACCCCACCGTGTGTCGCCTCACCTGGGCTCCGATGGCGGACGAGAAGCCCTACACCTACACCTGCAGGGTGTACCAGGGGTCTACCTGGAAGGAGAACAGCATGGCTGTACACCAGCGTGAGTCATCATGGGTACAGGGATGAGCAGGAGGAGGGACAACTGAGATAGGAGTGGGAAGGGGAGTCAATATAGTTGATGGTTATCAATGCAAACATATATACAGCATTGGAGTTGTTCAGTGGGTTGCCCTAAGATATGAATATACTCTATCAAATATGTAGTAGGATAGAATGGAATTATGAAATTATTTCCAAGCAAAAACCACAGGATTATCTCTTTGTATACATGAAGACCTATTTGTTCTTGTGTTATTGCACATCCATACAGATGAAGAACCATATGTGTGTTTTGAAAGAATTTTGAATAATTATAAAAAGTATGGAAAATAAGTATGAAATCAAAAACTAATAGGTAAGTATAATTGAAAGAGAAGTGTGATGACATGATCTTTCAATAATGACACTCTTGATTTGGTAGACCTATACACATAAAAAAAGATACATATTTGACAATATTCACATTTTTCTAGATGCAATTTTCTTTGTTGCAAGGGTTCATTTGTTGTGTTTGTGTACAAGTGTTTAAATCTGATGGTCTGTTTTTGTCTGTCTAGGAATTCTTCCAATCTGCTCAGCCCTCAGCGTGATGTTCCATACCGGGCTATTTCTTCTGTCCCTTGTGATGTCACTTCCTGTAACTACAGGGCTCCTCTCTCCCTGACCTCCTTTCAGTGTACAGATAGCTAGATGTAATTACATGTTTTTAGACAGATTTTCATATCATTATTATAGTACACAATAATAACTACAATTTACTAAGATTGTACGGTATGCATGTTCACAAGTGTAATGAGTGAAACACAACAGTGGTACATTGGAGGGCTGTGGCTCCATATTCACTGTTTTCTGACCACTTCAATGATCACTTAAAAACTGATCCATCAGACTAGATCTTATTTTGTATTATCTATTCTCTATAATTTAGGCTTTGCTTTTGGAGTATCAGGTAAGAATCCTATGAAAACAACTTATTTATATCAGTCTAACTTTCAGAATTTCCAGACTTTCAGGCTATTATCAGCCCTTTGGCTACAGGGATGCTAGTACGGGAATGGGTGGTCATGTCCTAAAGAGATTCACAAAGGCTGTTTACACAGGCAGACCAATTTTGATATTTTTCCACTAATCTGTTTTTTTAAACAATCAGATTAGCTATTTTGTCAATAATTGGGCAACATTTCAGAATTGGGCTCCCTGTGTAAACACAGCCTTAATATTGCTGATAGATTGTGGCTTCCGTCAATGTAATTGTCTGCATCATTTCCAATCCCCCATATATATATTTTTTTGTATATATTTTCCTTTATTTTTCGGACACAGTATATTTTACATTAGTTATGTTGTTTTTAGTACCACCCTTCAGCTCCATTCAACCCATCCCATCTATCTCTGAACACCCTCAGGTTTTGATAACGTTTTGCCATAGTTATTTCAGCTGTGATGTTTCACAAAAGTTCTGAACCTTTCTATTATCATAGTTTTAAAGATTGTAAATTAAAGATAAAAGTTTTTGCTAAGAGTATTATTATATTATTGATCGATTGACTATGACTTTTCAAATCACCCAGCAGTGTTATTTGCAGAGTTAACTCCAGGTAAATGTTGCAATTCTTCAGCCATTCCTGAACCTGCGACCGAAAACAAGCTACATATGGACAGTACCAAAACAAATGATCTAATGATTCTGACTCTTCACAGCAAAATCTGCAGAGCTGGGATGGTTGTATAATCATTTCAATTTTAAACTAAGTTTTGAATCCAGCGTAATTTTATGTATCAGTTCATAAACCATGGAATCGGTACATCGAAAATCTCTTCCCAAAATATACTGAACAAAAATATAAATGCAACATGCAACAATTTCAAAGATTTTACTGTTACAGTTCATATAAGGAAATCAGTCAATTGAAATACATTCATTAGGCCTTCTACTATGGAATTCACATGTTTAGGCAGGTGCACAGCCATGGGAGGACATAGGCCCACCCACTTGGGAGCCAGGCCCACCCACTGGGGAGCCAGGCCCAACAAAAGGGCTTTATTACAGACAGAAATACTCCTCAGTTTCATCAGCTGTCCGGGTGGCTGGTCTCAGATGATTGCACAGGTGAAGAAGCCGGATGTGGAGGTCCCTGCTGGCATGGTTACATGTGGTGTGCGTTTGTGAGACTGGTCTGTTGGACGTACTGCCAAATTCTCTAAAGTGACGTTTTAGGCGGTTTATGTTCAATTAACGTTCAATTCTCTGGCAACAGCTCTGGTGGACATTCCTGCAGTCAGCATGCCAATTGCACGCTCCTTCAAAACTTGAGACATCTGTGGCATTCTGTTGTGTGACAAAACTGCACATTTTAGAGTGGCCTTTTATTGTCCCCAGCACAAGGTGCACCTGTGTAATGATCATGCTGTTTAATCAGCTTCTTGATATGCCACACCTGTCAGGTGGATGGATTATCTTTGCAAAGGAGAAATGCTCACTAATAGAAATGTAAACAAATTTGTGCACAACATTTGAGAGAAATAAGCTTTTTGTGCATATGGAACATTTATGGGATCTTTTATTTCAGCTAATGAAACATGGGACCAACACTTTACATGTTGTGTTTATATATTTGTTCAGTGTATATGGCACAGCTGTACATTTTTTGGGTCTGTAAATGAAACTGGTATACTTTTTTATTTGTCACAATTTTCAATAACCAATTTTGGTCTTTAATGAAGGGGCGACAGACAAGTTCGCAAACGCAGCCTTTGTGAATCTCTTTAGGACATGACCACCCATTCCCATATTAGCAACCCTGTAGCATTGAGGAGATAGTGGGGGGTGAATAGTAAGGCCAAAGCCCCTGTATTTGGCTCACAGTCCCTGATTCAGAGGCACTTAAAGCTGCAAAACTGTATGTAACGTTTTGGGTGACCCAACCACATTCACATAGAAATGTGAGTTATAGATCTGCCATTCTCATTAAAAGCAAGTCTAAGAAACTGTGGATCTGTTCTATGTGCACTATTTCTATGCTTCCCGTGCTTACGTTTCTTTTTGTATCTTTTATTTTCGGTTTTGTACACCAGCTATAAACAGCTGATTATACAATATTTGTTATTATTGAAAACATATTTCACCGCGTTTTAGATGGTACAATGATTCTCAACACTGCTTGTTTTGGCACATAAACTGAAATTAGGTGAACTATTAGAATTTTTGCAACCAGGAAATGGCGGAGCGATTTCTGCCTATTGCACCTTTAGAGATTCCTCTGAATTACCATTAAGATAATGGATGAAATGGAAATGAAAGCTGGAAGTTGACAATCCCAGGCTATTGATTGGCTTAAGATATTTACAAGTCAGGTGGTATGTTGTAACTATTCAATAATTGGTTAATGATCAACTCTCAGGAGCCTATTATTTAATAATAATAATATGCCATTTAGCAGACACTTTTAACCAAAGCGACTTACAGTCATGTGTGCATACATTTTTACGTATGGGTGGTCCCGGGGATCGAACCCACTACCCTGGCGTTACAAGCGCCGTGCTCTACCAATTGAGCTACAGAGGACCAATCTCAAAGTATTAAGAAACCTTTCATAGATGCAAAGAAATCTGATGCTCTCTCTAGTTTGAAAGTTTTGTTTACATTTTGTCATCCCCACATGTTCTTATACGTTTCATACAGTAGAAGTTTGAGCTTAGCTAAATTGTATATCAAAGGAAACATTACACTTAGTGATGTCCCCTGTATTGCATAATTACCGATTGCTGATTAGCCATTGAGAGTTCAAGACATGCCATTACTGTGTTAAATGTTTTGATACTCAGCTTCACATGGCACATTATTAGTTATTGTAATAATGCATTAAATCCATAGGCAACAATTATATTCAACATTTGGTAATGTTATTTTTTAGAAAATGATTAAGTGGAATTGCTTACAGATGTATCTTAATCTCTTGCCAAATTGTACTTTCACTGCACCATAGCATTATTTAGGAAATAATTGTATAGGTTATTATAAGTAAAAGTCTTTCATATGCTTTGCAGATGTAATAATTATTGTAGCAATTTTTGGGGGGACTCATCATGGAGGTCATTCTAGATCTTTGTCCTCAAAAACCTCCAATCACTGTGAATGAGATCAGAGTCTAGAATGACCACGCTGAAATTGAGGCTGTTTTAAGACAAGCCCAAATTACAGAAAAGCTCTTTAGATAATCAGATCAGATGGTGAATGAATGAGATAGTTAATTTGATTTACTACCATAACTAACTAAATGTTTCTGGACAAAGAATGACTGACTGAAATTAGCACTTGAAATGGACCAGGGTCTCTGAAACACACTACCACCACGTGTCCTGATAGTAGTTACTAAGTTGATAGTTTGTTGATGTTAGTTTATAGTATGTGCAGAATGAAAGATGGGTTAAATATGTCTAGTTGAAGATGTCATTAGCTGCTTCTAGTCTCTTTATTTTTCATTCTAATGCTCTCAATGCTCCCACGCACAGCTCACACTGGCACTGCACTAGCTATTTGCACATGCTTTAAGTGCCTAGGCTTTTTGAATGCTGCGTTATTATTGTTCATATCAGATGCTGTGTCCTTGCTGACAATTCTGGTTCTCTTATACGGCACACCTTACTTAGCATTATCCTATGTGCTGTGCCTTTTTGTTTTTATCACTGTAATAATAGTCTAGTCTTCCATGCACTGAAATCTCATTGTAGTTTGACTGCTTTGCAAAGTGGAATTTGTGAATGTGATTAGTACACATCCATTTGCCAAACCAGTGCTTTCTCTCCATTCTTTCTTGCCACTGAATGTGTACAAAATGCAATAGCAAGAAATAAAGGTATGACAGTAAAAATTGTATTTTTGTCTTGTTCACATTTCAGCATCTTCACTTTATTTCCATGACGTTCACAGACAATCTACTGTATATATGCTATTGGTAAGTTTGGTGTTGATATACATTCATATCAGATTTTGGAGGAAGTTATTATAGAATCATTAATCTCTCTTTGGAACATCATCATGTTTGTTCTCGTCCCTGGGGCCCATGCCTCAGGGCTCCAGTACTGTGACAGTGCAGTCTGACACTAGAGAAGAGGAGAGCATCTTTGCTGTGGGCCAAAACAATATGTTTCTGTATCAGCTTAGGGAGCTGAGGTTACTGCCTGTGTCTCGGTAGAAGAGTTGGAGCAGACCTTATGCCACTAGATGGCGGTCCAATATCATGAGAATAAACATGGTTGAGAATAGTATTGAGAATAGTGCCATTGTACAGTCGTGGTCAAAAGTTTTGAGAATGACACAAATATTGGTCTTCACAAAGTTTGCTGCTTCAGTGTTTTTAGATATTTTTGTCAGATGTTACTATGGTATACTGAAGTATAATTACAAGCATTCCATAAGTGTCAAAGGCTTTTATTGACAATTACATTAAGTTTGTGCAAAGAGTCAATATTTGCAGTGTTGACCCTTCTTTTTCAAGACCTCTGCAATCCGCCCTGGCATGCTGTCAATTAACTTCTGGGCCACATCCTGACTGATGGCAGCCCATTCTTGCATAATCAATGCTGGGAGTTTGTCAGAAGTTGTGGGTTTTTATTTGTCCACCCGCCTCTTGAGGATTGACCACAAGTTCTCAATGGGATTAAGGTCTGGGGAGTTTCCTGGCCATGGACCCAAAATGTCGATGTTTTGTTCCCCGAGCCACTTAGTTATCACCTTTGCCTTATGGCAAGGTGCTCCATCATGCTGGAAAAGGCATTGTTCGTCACAAAACTGTTCTTGGATGGTTGGGAGAAGTTGCTCTCGGAGGATGTGTTGGTACCATTCTTTATTCATGGCTGTGTTCTTAGGCAAAATTGTGAGTGAGCCCACTCCCTTGGCTGAGAAGCAACCCCACACAGGAATGGTCTCAGGATGCTTTACTGTTGGCATGACACAGGACTGATGGTAGCGCTCACCTTGTCTTCTCCGGACAAGCTTTTTTCCGGATGCCCCAAACAATCGGAAAGGGGATTCATCAGAGAAAATGACTTTACCCCAGTCCTCAGCAGTCCAATCCCTGTACCTTTTGCAGAATATCAGTCTGTCCC